TTCCCCGCGCGTGGCTGGGAAACACCCGCAGGCTTGGATTACACGTTTCTCCGAAACACAGGTAAACTCAGAGCTCACTGCCGGGTCCAGCCAGCCCCACTTAGAGCTAGAGGAACACTCTATTCTTTCCCGGTCACAGCCGGCATTCAGTGCTGTTTTATGTCAGTGTCAGGCGTAAGCGCAGTGATTTACGAAGGTGAAACGGCGAAGGGAGTAAGAGGCACAGCTGGCGGCGCAGCAGCCGCGGCGGGAAGAACCGCGCGGGGAAGGCAGGCGGCGCCACGGCGAGGGCTGCACGCGTCGGGTGGGCGCCGGGCCACTGGGGCCCTGTGTGAACCCGAGAGGCGGCTCCTGACCTGGGCTCCCAAGCCCGCTCCTGCCGCTTCCTCCCCTTTGCTGGTGCGCGCCCGGGTGAACCCACTGAGACCTCTGCTGCTTCCCCCGTTCCCTCCTTTCCCAGGACAGGCTGCCCCAAGCTCCCCTCCCGGGTTCGGCCATAGGAAGATGGCCCTGTGGGTGCGGCATGGTCCCCAGTGGGCAACAGTTTCTCTCTGTGGTCGCATTCTATATTTGCGACGAGGGGCTGAGAAGAAAATGGATTTTAGAGTCAGAAGAATCTCATTTCAAACCTCGGCCCTGCCACTTAGGATCACGGCCTTGAGGTCATCAGCGAACTCTCCTCTGTTCTGCGATTTTGATTGTCTCCGGGGCTTAATCACACCCCAGCTCAGGGTGAAGGTGGGATTTGATGTCATGTGTATAAGGCAGCTTGCCCAGTGCCTGGCACATAGTAAATGTTCAATAAATAAATAGGCTATTGTCCTGCTGGGTCCTTCTGCACATCCAATGCTGGACTCTTGATGCCCAAGGAGACATATAAGGTCACTCAGGACACTAAGGTCACTCAGCCCAGCAGAAGGAGGTCCAGGATTGTGACGTGGAGTCCTGGCTCCCCCTTCCTTCCTAAGGCCGGGCCTGTGCCAAGCCTGGAAACGCTGACGCGAAGCCTCCAGCATCTGGAGGTGCCAACCACCGAGCGCAGCATGGTTCCCGTCTACACGCTCCTTCTCGCAGGTGTGAATGCTGCATCCTTCCTCTGGGTTCGCAGCTCTTTCCCCTGTCTGGGCCGCTGCCTTTGGTGTACCACTTCCCTCTAGGGCACAGCCCGCTTCCCCCCTCCACCTCCTCTTTCCACTGTGATGACATCGCCGTGGGGAAGAGGTGCTGTGCAGAGCTTCTCTCTCTCCGGGAGCTTCAGTTTCCTTACCGGCACCATGACATCATCTCTACCCTGGAAATTCCACTTGCCCCCCTGTGCTTCCACCTCTGTCCCAGTCCTCAGAGTCCCTATAAAGAGGGGATCCCAGCTCAGTGTCAGCACAGAACACAGCCGGGTTCTGAAGCTTCTGGGCTCTGCAGCCTCAGCTCCGGGAAAGCCTCCTCTCCGCCAAGACCATGAAGCTCTGTGTGACTGTCCTCTCTCTCCTCGTGCTAGTGGCTGCCTTCTGCTCTCCGGCACTCTCGGCGCCAAGTAAGTTTGTTAATTCAGCTGCTACTTCTAGAGCCATGGTGTAGGCAGAACCCACTTTTCTTCTGGGGCTGGTCCAACAGTGGCATCTGGGGAAGGGACAAAAGGGAGCTGGGAAGATTTTTAAGTAGCCTGTTGTTAAATGCAGTGTCTACTAGACATTCAGTGATACTCAGTTCCTGTTAAGAAATAATAACCAGTAGACTTAAGAAAGTCCCTGTTTCTCTGCGTGTTTTGGTTTCCTCTTCTGTTAAATGAAGTGAGATGTTTACTCTGAAACCCAATCTAGCTCCATGATCTTCTCTTAGGATCCTGATTTCAAAGAGAACTCCTACTCAGGGAGGGTGGGATTGGATACAAGGGACCATAATTGGGCTCTGATGGCTGCACAGCGATACCCCTTGAATATCCTTAGCTAAAAGCCAAAGGAGCAGCTCCTTGTAGCCCTTTGGTCTCACCTCGGCCTTTCTTTCCAGTGGGCTCAGACCCCCCCACGGCCTGCTGCTTCTCCTACACCGTGCGGAAAGTTCCTCGGAGCTACGTGGAGGATTACTACGAGACCAGCAGCCTTTGCTCCCAGCCCGCTGTGGTGTAAGTATCAGCCTCTGGGCAGCTCGGGGAGGCCAGGGCGAGGGCAGGATTAGATAAGGGGCCTGTTTGGGGCGGGGAGAGGGTCAGACAGGAGGGAGACAGGTCTGAGGGCTGAAGCCCTCCAGAAAGCAGCAAAGAACAACATCATGAAGTCACTTGTCCAGTCTTGGAAGGGGGCTGGGAGGGATTCAAGGGACCAGATTGGGGGTCGGGGGCTCTGGGGAGGAAATTAGACAGAGGCTAGGAAACCAGGGAAAGTAAAAAAGAAATGTGGGCTAATTTCTTAAACCATGCTTAGAAAACATGTGGAAAAGTTATTGCTAGGGGCACTAGGGAATGAATGGGAAGATACAGCCATATTGATTGTAAAACTCACTGGTTAGTAATATGGGAACCAATTTAGCTGAGGCCACAGCCAAATCCACGGTGGAAGTTAAAAGGAGTCTGTTTCCAGTACCACCCCAGAAGGGTCTTCCCACCCACTAGAGCTGTCCAGCATGAACTGTGGTCCAGCAGAGGGAGATAATCTACCGTAGACAAGGTGCCATGCGATTCTAATCTATCCACTCCTCTTTCCACAGATTCCAGACCAAAAAGGGCAGACAAATCTGTGCCAACCCCAGTGAGCCCTGGGTCCAGGAGTACATGAATGACCTGGAACTGAACTGAGCTGCTGCAGGCACAGGGGCAGGTCTCCAGGGAAGGTCACCTGAGCCTGACTCTTCTCAGTGAGCCGCGCCCTCTCCACGTTCACCACTCCTCTCAGTAGTCCCCATTCCTTCTCTTAATTTAATTTTTATTATGTGTTGTTATTGTATTTGATGTTATTTTCATAGTTTATGTTGGTTTTTTTACCAAAGGACACATGTCCCCCATGGGGATTGTCCACCATCACTGTTTCTCTGCTATTGCGGATACATGGGTAATGCAGTTGATTCTGTGTGTTTTCATAATAAAACTTAAAAAATATATACAGACGGCTTCTTTGTGTTTTAATTTGATTTGGTTCAAAGGGAAGTGCCTGGTATTATTAATAGGGACAAACTGCCATTTCCAAACCCAATAAGGGTGAGCAATTACTGAGGACGTCATATGGCTAAATGCTCTAAAAAGACACGATCTCACTTAATACTTTCAACAGGGATTTTAACACCCTTATGAAGTTGGAACTCTTACCTCCAGTTTTACAGATGAGGAAACAGGCACAGAGGTGATGTGGCTTGCTAAGGCTTGTAGGTCTGTTTGGAGAGCACCATGAAAGGATGATCCAAAAGGGCAGCTGTGATGCTGAGGGTCATCGTCTCAGCATCTGGTGGAGAGGTTGCAGATAGCATCAGCAGTGCAATATAGAGGGGAGACAAGGTAGTTCAGGGTCAGAGAAGTGGGCCTCCATCACTTATCATCAGTGATCATTAGGAAAGTCATCTTGCCTTGCTGGACCTCAATTTTCACACCTGTAAAGGGGGGCAATATTATCTGCTTTGAAGGGCTGTTACGAGGTGGTGTGTAAAGCATCCATCACAGGGCCTGGCATCTGGAAGTTTCTGTTTCCCTCTCTGAGCCTTAACTTTTTCACTTACAGTGGGCATAGTGTCTATCTTCCCAGAGTCATCAAATGGATTAGATTAGTTAGCGGATTAGCTCTCTAAAGCTCTAAGCAAAAGTGAAGAACAAAGAATGTCAGATTTGGTTCTGGAATGTTGTGAGAGTAACCTAAAGCCATGTCTCCTTAATAACCTTTCAAACAGAGCTTCCTATTACATGAGTCAGAACGGGGCTCCGAGATAGAATCACGTGCACAATCAGACTTTGATCTACAGAACACAGAACTATAGTCTATTAAAGCTGGGAGGAACCTCTCAAGCCATCTCACCCAACCCTCTCATACTGTGAAAACTGAGGGCCAAGTGCTGAGAACTGACTTGCTAAAGGCCACCCAGTAAGCGTGTGACAGAGCAGAACTCCAGCCAGTGCCAAGTCCCAGGTTAATCCCCTTTTCTGTGCTCCTCGTGACATGCCTCCTTGGAGCCAAAAAGGACAACCCATTGTGCAAGTAGGGTGAAGAGGGGGTAACCTTGAAAAACATTTGAGTGTTCTTAGTCCAATGCACAGGCAGAACTGGGACCCTGTACTTCTCTGGGGCCAAACAGACACAATTCCCTTCTCTGCCCTGCCCTCAGCCACCCACCATCCCAGAGCATGAGTAAAAACCTCCTTTAGATTCCACAGGGACTGAGAGAAGGAGGTTGGGGGCAGAGCTGATCCAAAAAAGTATGGGAAGAGGCTAACAAAAGAAGAGCCCGACTGGTCTCGCTGTCTGCCTTTCATCTGCCTAGACCTGAGCTATTCCATACATTAGTCATTAGCCATAAGTGCCCATTTAAATTTCAATTAAATTTAATTAAAAATTAAAGTAAATGTATAATTCAATCACTTGCACTAGTCATATTTCTTTCTTTTCTTTTTTTTTTTTAAATATATCTTTATTGATTTCAGAGAGAGGAAAGGAGAGGGAGAGAGAGATAGAAACATCAATGATGAGAGTCATTGATGGAGCCCGCAACTCGTGCATGTGCCCTGACCAGGAATCGAACCCCGATCACTCAACCGCTGAGCCACGCCCAGTTGGGCTGCACTAATCATATTTCAAGTGCTCCCTGGCCACATGTGGCCAGTGGCTCCCTGCCAGAGAGCAAAGATATAGAACATTTCCATCATGGCAGAAAGTCCTATTGAATGGCACTGTCCTAGGGCCTGAAGGAAATGAATGGAGGGGGTATCTGGGGTGGCCTGAGAGGTTAGGGTGTGGTCTTTGGCTAACGATACTCAATCTATTTTGAAGGAAGTGTTGGGAGAGAGAATGGATGATCCCCAAGCCTGAGACAAGGTATAGATCCCCATGGCAGGCCCTCCAAATATCCATATCTTAATCCCCAGAACCTGTGAATATTACCTTATATGACAAAAAGGACTTTGCAGATGCGATCAAATTAAGGCTTTTGAGAGGGAGAGATTATTCTAGATTATCTGGTTGGGCCCTAAATGTAGTCATACGTGTCCTTATAAGAGGGGCCATGGGAAGATTTGATGACAGAAGACAAGAAGGCAATGTGACAACTGAAGCAAGATGCTACCTACACTATTGGCTTTGAAGGTAGAGGGAGAGACCAGGAGCCAAGGAATGCAAGGATGCAGACGGAAAAGTCAAGGAAATAATGGTCTCTCCCCTCAAGCCTCCAGAGGGAAAGCAGTCCTGCTGAAGCCTTGCTTTTAGGTCAGCGAAACAGATTTTGGACTTCTGACCTCCAATACTTAAAGAGAATAAAATGTGTGCTGTTTTAGGACATCAGGTGTATAGTAATTTGTTACAGCAGCAATAGAAAGTTAACACAGTCACCGACTAAAGAGTTGCTGACAGTGACTCCCTCCAGCTCAGTATGAAAGGTAATGGAACATCCTAGAAGGTGAGACAAACTTCCCTGAAGGATAAACCCAGGGTGAAGTGCACACATTCCAAGGTGGTGGACTATAATGAGGTGAGACATCTCAAGAGGAGGGTCTGCGTCAGCAGGTAAGAATGAGGACCGAGGCTTCACCAGGGGCACAAAACCCATCAGCCAGGTGAAGAGGAAGCCTGCCTCTTCTTGAGACTCTTGTGGCCCTCTGAGAAGCGGGGGACTCAGATTCCTATCTGGAAGATTCTGTCTTCTCATTTGTCACATGAAGTCTAGAACAGAGCTGTGACCTGTCTCTTGGCTTATTATTAGAGAAGGGGCAGAGTTAAGGCCAGAATCTGGGTCTCTCCCTCACGGTGGAATTTTCCCCCACACCTCCCTGCCCCTGAGCAAATTGTTAGGGAGGAACTCAGTTCCACAGAGGTTGCATCACGAGACCAGAATACCCTCTGGAACAAGTGCTTCTCCTAGGCATTGTAAACTAAAGCATGGAGTCCCTGTGGTGGGGCAACATGGGACTTCACCTGTTGCGCAATATGAGGCTGTTTTTTCCTCTCTCCACTTTTCATAAAACCCCCTTTTCATATCCTGAAAATGGGGAGCTGATATCTCCTTACTTGACATTTCAGCTGAGGTTTCTCTGGGTCTCTGGGAGGGGCCAGAGCCAGAACAGGACAGGGGACGGAGGCTACTGTTCACGGAGCCGCTTCTGGAATCGGGCCTGTGCAGTGCCTGCCTCCCCAGTTCCCTTTCCAGACAGGAGGGAATCTGTTGCCTCATGTTCTGGTGTATGCAAACTTTTGTCCTCTGTCTATCTCACCCCCACCCAGAACCTTCGAGAATGCTCCCCTGACAGGCATTTTTCTCCGAGGAGGCCAGGAGCTGAGCAAGCAGAAGCAGGGACCCAGGATGCAAGTTGAGCTGCGGATGTTGAAAGGAGCCACAGTTCTTCCTGATGACCGAGCCCAGTGGCCACATGGCTGTCCCGAGCTGCTTTCCATACTCACCCTTCACAGGCCCAAGGGACTTGTCCTCTCTTTTCTAGTTGTCTCCACCTGTTCTCCCTTCTTAACGCCTCTCCTCTTGGGTTCCACTGAGTCTAAGCAGACAGGAAAATAGAAAAACAGGGGAAATGGAGACAAAATTATGACTGCATTTTTCTACTTTTTGAATAGTGTGGACGAAAAGGGGTCACACACTAAACCTGACAAGCTCAGGGGAGGCCTGCAAGGCGGCCTTACAAATTCAAGAGACCCAAAGCAACCAAAGGATGGTCTGAACATTAAAATTCCTAACTGAAAGCGGGTCATGGCTGTTACATTCTAGGCCTGTAGCTTCCTTGGCAAAGGTTAAGCTTTACCTTTAAGTGAGCTTGTTTATTGTCTTTGTTTAACCAAGATAACACACCTTTGAGATGTCGGAGTAATTATCTTTTCCAGACTCCTCAATGGTACAATTACACAACCACCAGCACGAGACCACATTGCTGTCTTGTTGCCCAAATACCACCTCTATGTGCTGTAAATGTTAACTGGCTTGTACCCACCGATGTAAAAGAACTATATGTCTATTCATTTTGTTTTTTATCTAATTCAAGAGATTTCCCTGCTTTGCTTTCTTGCGCCTTCCTTAATCTACCACCAACGAATTTCATGTAACCCTCCTTACGTCTCCTCCTTTTATTCTAATGCATAAAATAAGCTGCAAAACTGCCATTCTCAGGAGCATTTTCTCAATCTGTAGAGGTTCTGCTTCTCGGCAATTGTCAGCTTGGCTCAAATAAACTCATAAAAATCATCTACAGGTGTAGGTGTTTCTTACTTCGACAATAGTTTTATTTTTAGATATTTGATAATTGTGTAAAATATTCATTTAGAAGAAAAGAGAAAGTTCCAATTTTCGTTTTAGGGAGAAACAGGCTTCATACTAACAGCATGGTTGGGAGACTGCCCCCCTCCAATAGTTTTAATGCCATGTACTCGATGGTCTTGAAATTAATAATTTTTGAATAGGTAACAGTAGACATCGTGTAAAATTTCAAAGGATATGCAACAAAAAATAAATCTCCCTTCCAGCTCTACACCCAAGTATCCAGTTCTCTTCCCTGGAAGCAATGAAGGCTGCTACCTACCACTCTTTTGTGAATTCATTCGGAGATTCAACAGCCTTTTAAAAGTGTCAGAAAATGGAGCAGTGAAAGCAATAATAAGGAAT